CCAGATTCAGTGCAACCACGACCCTGACCATCGACGCTGCTGTGGCCGCATGACTGGACGCCACGGCGCCGACTCTGCCCAGGCAAAGCTCATGGAATCTGAGGACTGGATCGAGGTGTCTGCGGATCGTCAGAATGCCTTCCACGACAAGTGGATTGAACATGTCCGTGCTATCACCAATGGAAATGACATCACCTGGGCCAAGCAGAATAGGTGCTGCACGGATCTTGAGCTTGATGCTGAAGCCAGCAAATCTGGCGAGATGACTGGCGTTGACGAGGCCAAACTTCGCGAATGGATCGCTAGCTATCCTACCACCAATGAGTCGACTCACTTCATGTGCATCATGGATCCTCTGACTGGTGAGATTCGCTAGAGCTCTCGTGGTCCTGACCCTCTCGCAATGTTTGAGTTTGGCGACGAAGCTTAGTCGTTGCCCCTTATGCAATCAAGAGAGGAAGCAGCTGGACTTTGCACAGCGATGTTTCTCGTCTGACAGTGCTAGGAGGATACCAAGGAAAGGAGTTCTCGAGGCACTACATCGACACCAGGCTTTTGCATTTACACATGAGCACAACAAAAAGTCGGCAGTGCAAGAGAGTGGCATTGGATGGCCTCAGGGTATGGTGTACATGGGAATAACGTCATGTAACGATAACAAAAGTCGTGAGAATAGAGCATGCCGCCAAAAAGGCCACTCAAGGCTGTAACGATCAGGTGGTGATTGTGAGTGGTGCCTTTAGAGAGACCTTGGTGTAAGTGAAATGTGCTGGGGCTCAGCTTGCACGCTGTAGGGTGGGGAACACCTGCAGCGTAGCTTCTTCAGCGCCTTCCAAGAGCAACCCAGCACCATATCACCCTCAAAGAGAAGGCCAGAGGAAGGAAGTACTGTCCAACACCACAATCCAAATTTCATGATTGAAATTTTGAAACTTCCACACTGCAACGACCACAAACTACCTCGTCGCGACTTCTTTCCATCACAGCTCCTATCAAAGCCGAATCAAAAGACCGCCGAAATGCCAGCATCAGCACCAGCTCTTGCTCTGAACCAGGGTCCAATGACCAACGAAGTCCTGAGGGGCATCTTCGCGTCCGACCAAGACATGTACCCCGCGCCGCTGACCTGGGGCCGCCTCCGGAGCTGGACGACTGCAGCGCCCGAGCTGGCCACTTGCTTCTACCTCTCTGCCGGCGCCGTGGAGAACGACGACACCCAGACACTCGTCGGAGCCGTCATTGCACTCCCGATACTGGCACCTGCGTGGCGGGATTTGCTGGCGGGCGAGGTCAAGGAAGTGGATGTGGATGCCGGGACTATGTTTCCTCGCGATGGTGCTGAGCATCCAGAGGTCGGGCTGCACGTTTTTCACGTCGAGAGGTTCGATGTGCCTGAGGCGCGGGGTAAGGTGCGAGGATTCGCCGAGACCTCGATGCAGGCTGTCGTAGCTGCGGCAGAGAGGAAGGGATGGTCGATCATCGGCTATTCAGGTAAGTGATTCGTGGTGGCTGGCCATGCTGGCGTTGCAGGCTTTCGATTGACATCCATTGTGGGAGGGAAATATCGATGTGATCTGACATTTTGGCAGCACTCACAGCAACGCCAGAAGGACGAAGATGCTTTGAGAAAATGGGCTTCGAAGCGACGGGCTACGAGGAGTTCTGGGTTGACGATGGCCGCAAAGGTGTCCAACTGGTTACAATCACAGCGGATACCACGCCCGAGAAACGGGAAGTGCGAGAAGCGGCGACAGTCCGAGGCCAGGCGAGGATGCTAGTGAAGCACTTGCATCCAGTCACCGATGCTTAGCTGCGCTTGAGGGTCATCGGAGATTTCGAGACTTCGAGAACAATCAATGAATGATCGACGATGCGGAGGGAGGGGCCTCCCGTGTGAGTACGGAGTACAACGCAAGGAGCGGAATGCCAGCGGAAATTTGGCTTTGAAATCAGAAATCCCATCACGAAGTGAAAGCTGGGTCGAAGCTCCTTGACGCTGGGGCAATCATTCATCCGAACATAGCAACAAGCCAACAATTGCCCCGGACCCCGTTTTCCTCGCCAGAATCCCGTTGCTTTCCATCAACAAAGTGCGAAACGAACCTCGGCTCCTGTCACCCAGCAGACGTGGTCCAGACTCGTTGCGGATACCTATGATGCTACGAATTACCCAGTTGGCAGCTCCGTACGGTACACCAAACCTCGGCCTCCCGCCCCGCGGACCTGGCAACCGGCACGGCTCAGGCGACTACCGATGGTTTCTGCGCTGTTCTTATTTTATCGGGGCCCTCCTCCACCGAAAGGGGCAGCCAGCTCCGGGTGGTCGAGCGCCAGAACAATAACGGCATTGAGCTTGTGCTTTGTCATCATTGCTTCATTGGTACGGGGTAGAGATTTTCTTATGGCACGTTTTGGAGAACGGAGAGGCGACTTCGAGCAAGATTGGGTCAGGGCTAGTCAGTGATGGGCCTCACCCTGACTCGAGTTTCCTGAGGCCGAGGCCATCCCGTTGAATCATCAATTCCTCGAAGCAAGAAGAACGATACAGCAAGACGGGCCCACCAAACAACAATGGCTGGAGCTGTGCAAGTCAAAGTCTACATACGACCACGACGATTGACGAAGCGATCTTGACCGCAGATCAGAGAGTCTGGGAGGCCCTGGCCTCTAATGGCCTTTATGGTGACATCGATGAGCTTGATTGGGCCTCTCAGACACACCGCCTACCCAAGCGATATCTGGTATGTGTTTCCGCATCTCAAAGAGGGATGTGCCCCGCCATGAACCGCGGCATATTCCACCAAGAAAAGATGGAGGGGCAAATGGAAAGGAAGAAAAAATCTAGCGCCCATGTCTAAGTGCTGCTGCTGACAGATCAAAAGAAAGGGTCCGTGGGGACAACAGCGGCCAAGTCCCGTTTGACAATTCCGCTATCCTTTTTCCAGGAACCACCTCACAAAACACGGTCTATTGAGCATGGCCAATGCCGGCGACCCCCGGGCTGTCGAAGAAACTCCACCGGTCGAACAAGCAAAGTGGGTGCCCCTCCTGGCAGTTCTTCCATCATGACGTTGCCGTTTCCAATGCCTTCCGTCGCCCCGTGTTCACCAGGAAGCTTGAGGGGAGCTGAACATTGAACCGTTCCAAGCGGATCACAGGGTCGGACCCGGCGCGGGCCCGATGGACCCTTTGACGGGATTCGTCATGATATGGAGCAGATGGTTTCTACGATATATTTAACACCAAGATCATCCCATGGTTTCCGGTCGAAGTTTGAAAGAATCACTTACATCTCTTCACTATATATCCAATCCACTATATATTCCCTTTCTTGATACCCCGTCACTTAGACACTCATACTTGAAACACTCTTACAATGGCTCCTACTCCCAACAAGTCTTTCATCTTCAAGCAGGTCCCCAAGGGCCTACCTGTCGCCGGCCAGGACCTCGTCACCGAGGATCGCCCCATCGACCTCGAGCAGGACCTCAACGGCGGCATCCTCATCAAGGTCCTCTACTCTTCCTTCGACCCCTACATGCGCGGTCGCATGCGCCCCGCCGAGGCCGGCAAGTCCTACATTCCTCCCTTTGAGCAGGGCGCCGTCATCGTCTCCTCCATCGTCGCCCGCGTCGAGCGCTCCGATGCTCCCCAGTTCGCCGCCGGCGACCTCGTCACCTCCTTCATGGGCCCCAACGCCGAGTACGCCGCGATCCCCGCCAAGTTCCTCCCCGGCTTCTTCAAGGTCCCCAACACCCACAACGTCGACCTTCCCCTCTTCGTCGGCGCTCTCGGCATGCCCGGTATGACCGCCTACGAGGGTTTCTACGACATCGGTAAGCCTAAGAAGGGTGAGACCATCTTCGTCTCCTCCGCTGCCGGTGCCGTCGGCCAGATTGTCGGCCAGCTCGCCAAGGCTGAGGGCGTCAAGGTCATTGGCTCCGTCGGCAGCGACGAGAAGCTCGACTTCATCATCAACGAGCTCGGCTTCGACGCCGGCTTCAACTACAAGACCGAGTCCCCTCACGACGCCCTCAAGCGCCTCGCGCCCCAGGGTATCGACATGTACTTTGAGAACGTTGGCGGCGACCACCTCGAGGCCGCCCTCGAGTCCTTCAACCAGCAGGGCCGCATCATCGGCTGCGGCATGATCTCCGACTACAACACCCCGCGCGAGCAGCAGAAGGGCGTCCGCGGCCTCTTCCACCTCGTCGCCAAGAAGCTCTCCTTCCAGGGCTTCCTCGTTAACCTCTCGCCCGAGAAGTACAAGCCTTTCCAGGAGAAGGTGCAGCCCATGATTGCCAACGGTGAGCTCAAGGTCAAGATCCACCAGACGGATAGCATTGACCAGGCTGCTGAGGGCTTCATTGGCATGCTTACCGGCCAGAACTTTGGCAAGGCTGTCTTGAAGATTGCCCAGGAGTAAGAGTCTCGAGGCATGGACGGATGGAAATATTGCATTGAATAAAGGTTTGGGAAAAGCATGTTAGATGTATACTATAATGACAATTGATGACCAATGAACCAACGATAAAATTCCACTGTGATTGTACCTGTCATTGTCTGCTCGATATGACAGGGTGATGCGATTTTCGTCCTGTCTTGAGCTTACCGGAAAGGCTCCGAGTTTGCGTCATTCTCTCAAGTGATGTCGGACCAAAAATGTGCATGCTGGCTACGTGACATGGTTTTAATCGCAGTGTCGCAAGGCGTCAGGTCTTCCCTTTCACTCCAGATTGCTTTCTTAGGGCTCATAAATCACGTTTGCAAAGGTACATGTTCGATTGAAGTTGTGTATAATTCTATAGAAATGGTATCAAGTGCTATCCAAATCCAAGCCATTGCACCTGGCAAGTTTCCTTCCAATGTCCCTCTGTCTCAGAGACCACTATCTACCCAAAATGGGAAATCGGATCATTACCAAACGCCAACAGATCGTATCGCTAAATTTAGAATCCCATGCTCAAACTGAAGCCTGTCTCTCGGTCTACTCTTCCGTTTTAACCTCTACCAAACAGCTTCTTGGCAGTCACACGTCTCGTAGACGAGGGCGCGTGCTCATTGGCGTCATAGTACCCTCCGTAGCCATTGGCGTGCTGCTGCTCCGAAATCGAAGACTGCGAGCGGTGGCTATACGCATCCGACGCCGCATCCTCGGGCCTTAGCTTCTGGGGACGAGGAGGCGGGGGAGGTGCCTGGGCCGGCGCGGAAGCCTGTTGGGAGGAAGGGGCTCTATAGTACTCTTCATCTTCCCACTGAGATGTGCTGGTGTTTGTCCTAGCGGGCTCGGCGCGCTCCGATCTCGAGGTCGGGACGGGAGGAGCCTGGGCCGGCGTTTGGTGCCCGCCGTAGGAGTAGCCGTTCGTCACCGACTCAGCGGGTTGTGTTCTCGCTGAGGGACGCTCCTCGCGCTCGTCGCGGGAGCGTGTTGAGCGGTGAGTTGTTTCGCGGCTCGGGCTGGCATTATTGCTGACAGGCTTGCGCGTAGTTGTCTGCTTTGGCTTATCTTCGTCTGAATCGGAGCTGTTGTCCTCTAGATCGCGGTCTTCATCGGCATACTGTGAGTTAGTTGTTAGCATTATCGATTGTGATGAGGGAAAACAGATGTGGCTTACCATTCTCAGCTCCTTGCGCATGGCTAAGCTGGCGCAAATGTCGCGGGCCTCCTCGATCGCAGTCTTCTGCGTCTTGAGCGTCATTCTGCGGTCGCGCGTCTCCTTGTTCTCGGCGGCGATAGCTTCGACCGTCTCGGCAGGCATACCGAGAATCTCAACAGAGTTGAAGATGCTGTACATGCCCTGCAGCAAATGTCTCTCGACGACCTGCGTAATGGTGTTGCGGATGAAGGTCTTGGCCGCAAGCTCGTAGAAAATCAACATCTTCTCGCAGACTTCCTGCGCCTCGGTGTAGGTGGCACCATCCTTGGTGGTCTCGATCTGCCACTTGCGAAGACGCTCCTCGTATTCGGGGTCGTACGGCTGGATTTCGAGGTTCATGTCTTGCGTTAGGTGCTCAAGCTCGACCTGTGCGTCGGCCAGCAGCTTCTTCATCTGAACATCGAGGAATTGGTAGCGCAGGGGCTCGCGCATACGCTGAGGCCACGCGAAGTCAATGACCTCACTGAGAAACTCGTTGCACACGACGCCGAGATTGTCCTTATGCTCCTGAGCGAGCTTTGGCCAGTTCTCTGAGTAGCTCTGGAAGAGCATGTAGACAGCGCGAGGCTTGGGATCCATTGGAAATTCGGAACCACGAATCTGTCGCAGAAGCATCTCGACTTCTCTACCGACAAACTCTCTCTTGCTGCTATCGCTGATGGTAACACCATCTGCGGTACCGGGTGCAGTGGATGACGAGAAGCCAAACTTGCGACCGTTCTGGCGGATACGGTGCGAGAACTTCTCGTTCTCCTCAATGGCGCGGGCACGCAAGTTCTGAGCGGGAGTGCCGCGGGGGTCGGCTGTGGCGCGGAAGAAGTTCTTGCGAGGAGGATTCTTGTAGAAACCGTAGACGGCGGGGATAACCAGTTCCTTGGAACTGGAGAAGAGCTCAACGAGCTCGATGCGCATCTCCTCGACAGTGTCCTTTCCAGTGCCCATGGACTTGAGCTCTGAGTCGCAGTCGTCGAGCGCCTTCTGGATCTGCTTGCGAAGTGTCTTAACGTGACGACCAATGTGACGTTGCAGCTGAACACTCAGCTTTTGCTTGAGCGCATTGGCACCACACATGGAGCTGGGAAGAGCACGCCATTTTCCGCGGCCAAAGAATTCTTCCTCACGTTGACGACGTTCACGGGCTGAAGGCCATGGCTGGCCTTGGTCGCGGGGTCCAGGGTTCAGCAGAACGTACCAGCCGAGCTTGAAGTAGTTTTGCTTATCTCTGTTCTGGACGAGCTCGATGAACTTGTCTTCCAGACCGATCGACTCGCAAAGATCGGGTTTTGTCAGGACACCAATGGTACGGCTGCCAGAGGGGTCGAAGTGGCGTGCCTTTGTGAGAATGGGTGCCTGGACGTAATCGGTGTTGCCGCCAACGACAGCAAGGATAATGGTTCGGGAACTCTTCATATATCGGTCGCAAAGGGTCTCAATCGTCTTGATGTCGTCCATCGACTGGTCGTTGTTGGCGTTTTTGACGAGACCTGGAAGATCGACGAGGGTGAGCAGAGGCATGTCGGGACCTCTCTTCTCAACCACCAGAATGTCGCGGGCGGCGAATCTGCCCGGAATGTTCTTGGGGGCAATCATTTCCACCGCAGATCTCATGAGAGACTCAAAGGAAATGTCTGTGTCGACAGCTCCGCCAAATTGTTTCAATCGCTCCTGGTCTCTGAAAGGCTTGTTCTTGTCGGGGATGATGGAGACGTTGAGACTCGCTTCGGCCGACCTGCGCAGGCGGATCTCGGTTGCGAATCGTGTGCAGGCGCCGGCATCACGAGGGAACGGGGTGCCAGTGATGGCCTCGAGGACGGAACTCTTTCCCGCCGACTGGTCGCCGACGACGACGATCTGTGGCAGCTTGACATTGTCGAGCTGGGCAAACTGCAGCTTGTCGATGAGCTCGAGAAGGCCGCGCTGCTCATTCGCCATGTCCGCCGTCCCCAGCGCCGAGTCGATATTCGGAGCCATGTCGCGTTCGGGTCTGATAGAGACGTTAGTTGGGCGGTGACGACTGGTTTCTGGAACCTCGTACAATGATCCCATCACAGTCTGGTCTCGATGTATGTGTGATGTGGGTGATTGCGCAAGGAAAAGTCTTGGACCTCGAAAACAGGGTGCGAATACCACACGGGGAAGGGAGAGCCTTTTAAAGAGGAGACTACTGTTCGCCCAGCCCAAAGACCAAAGAACAAGCTTATGTGGGATTACGCAGTTACGCAGCGCAAGCCTGCATTACGGCGCGAGACGTGTCTCGACCGAACATCACATGCCCCCCAGGTGTGAGTGTGCCCAATAGCCTTGAAAGGGTGCCTGGATCTGGGCTCCAAGTCGTCGCAAAGCCGCGTCGTCAGCCCCCAGTGACGACCTTGGGGCGTGGGGAAAAGGGTAAAGCTTCGCCTACTTCTGCGTCGCCACCGGGGAATACGGCGGTACGGCGACATTAGAGTTGGCATTCCATGGATGTTGCTTGGCTTGAGGCAGCCCAGCAAAGAAGAGGCATCCGTTTGGGCCCTTTTTTGGCCCGCCTACGGCAATACGGATACTGCAATTTCGTCTGTCACTCGGCGTCGGATACCAAAGCCGAGACCAGTCAAGGAGACTGGCAGATTGGATACTGTGGGCTAGAGCCTTTAAGACCACTCAGTCTCCGTTATGCAGGGCGAAAAAGACTTTGAACAACAGCGAGAAAGGTGAAAGCAGTCCCATGTGCGCAAAGCCACCGAACCTTGGGACGGGGACCAACGCGTTTGTGTCGAGTTTGGACGAATGACGTCGGTAGCTCGGCAGTGGCACAGCCTCATTTTCCCTGTCTGGCACATCCAGGAAGCCCGCCGTAAGAGGTGGAGGGCCATGGAGGCACACTTTTTCCTGTCAAGCTTATTGAATCGGCCGCCGCAAAGTCGCACTTCGTCTCGCTTCTTCGCCTGGTTTCGCCCTACGCATGACGAGCGTACGCGTCGGGAGGCACTCGAAGCCCCAATTAGAGGCGGGTATGTCCGTCTAGGCCGGTGTGAGGAGGATTTTGAGCCAGCCAACGTGGTGCTAGAGACGACGACGCTCAACGCCAAGATGTTGCTGATGGTTGTTTTTTCGCCACTCGTTGGACTGCAAGGATCAGCCGGTGAAACAATTGGAGTCCAGTGGCTGTGTGGAGGAAACTGTGGCTAAGCAAGCACAAGTGAGGAAGTTTCGAATGATTAGGTAAGTGAGAATGCCCCTCTATGTGGCTATGCTACAGGCTTTCTCGAACTGTGGCGAGTGCTCCGGAGATGTGGCTGAAGCTACCCTCCCATCCTCCATCTCCAAGGTCCGCCGAGACCCTCGAACATCCCGTCCTCGATCGCTCTCAATCCTACTTACCTGTATAGCTAGCTACCTGACTCAGGTCCAGTAGTGAATCTATTCAAGCAACTTTACTCATATCTAATGCTCACTTCAGCAACCCCAAACCCCCCAAGGCATCAAGCATAACGGCGTTCGGATCTTTAAGGAATAACAGAGGTCAAGGAAGTATGAGCGAGCGAAGGCGGGGGACGAAGTCATGAGAAAAAAGTCAAAAGTTCAGGACTCAAACTTGTGAGGTTCGATTTCCTATGAATCTCGGTTGTTGTGCCACGTCGTGATTCTACCGGTTGTATGCCGCTCGGCTACTGAGGGTGATGGCTTTGAGATGAAAGTTGAATCATACACAGCTGTATGTAACCAGAGGGAGAACGGAATTAATATAGTCCATCTCAGTATCTAAACTCCTGCCCAACAAGCTTCTCGCTCAGAGCCCACAGCATCTCCGCATCGACTTTACTCCTAGCCCAAGGATATACCTCCTCCTTCCACGGGTCGGCAACACGACAATCAGTAAGAAACTCCCCATTCTTGTCCTTTAGCTCCGGATCAAATGCCGCAAACACGTGCGTCGCGGCACCCTGGTCCATATCCTTGGGCTCGATATCCCCCATTCCCCACATATACTTGCTCCCTACCACAACATCAGCCTTACGCAGGGCTTCGAGGAACCCGGGGAAATCATGCGCCTCGTGCGCGGCAAGGTTCGTGGGGACGTACCCCGGGCACAGACTAAACGCCGTCACACCCTTTGATGGGCCCAGCCTCTCGGCAAGGGCGATGGAGAAGAGGCTGTTGGCCGTCTTGGACTGCCCGTAGGCCATCCACTTGTCGTAGTGCTTTCCTTCGTTGAAGTTGTAGTCCGTCCAGCGCACGTGGCCGAGCCTGTGGGCGTTGCTGCTGACGTTGACGATGCGCGGGGGGGAAGGGGATGCGAGGATCTTGAACATGATGAGGTTTGTGAAGAGGAAGTGGCCTAGATGGTTTGTCTGGAACTGACTTTCGAAGCCGTCTTCTGTGAGGCTGTAGGCTGAGGCCATGATGCCGGCGTTGTTGACGAGGATGTCGATGTGGGGGACATCTGGCCATGAGGTCACTGTCTCTGCTGCTTTTCGGACGCTGGTAAGGGAGGTGAGGTCTAGAGTCAAGGGCTTGACCTTGATCTCGGGGTGTGTGATTCCGAGTTCGTCGATGAGGGGTTGGAACTTTGAGGGTGAGCGGCCGGTTAGGATGAATGTGGCTGGCCTAGCTACGGCGACTTGTTTGACGAAGCTGTCGCCGATGCTGCCTGGGGAGACGCCCGTGATGAGTATCGTCCTGCCGGCGATGTGGGGGGCGTAGAGGGGCACCAGCTCGCTCGCTTTGGTTTGGTTGTTGAAAGAAGGAGACATGGCTTTGGTGTTCTGTGTCGTACTGAACAGTTTAATAGTGCTTAGTTTGGGAAGAGAGAGTTAGGTATTGCTTGTAACTGCCCCTCAGACAAGATGAGGAGAACGCAGAAACGGCCTCTATATACCCACCAGCCTCAATCGATACCTAAAAAAACACTAATAAAGCATGTAAGACGCGAGGCAGCCCACACTCACTGGCAGCATGCTTGGAACGGACAGCCTTGAAATTGGTTCACCCGAAGATCACGACGCGTAAGATAAATGGGCTGCTCATGTTGCTTCGGGGCCATAGTTACCCGTTCTGCTACATGAACCCATCAGAGAACCCTTACAAAGGATTCGGTGCCGGAGATAGGTATACTTCATTGGGTGTTGGCAGTCTTGCTTTTCCTATATGGGAGACCTCAAGCACGGAGTTAACGGTCCTAAGAGATCATACCACCGTCAATAAATATCGTCAACGGGCTATGTTGGCACTGTCGGAGAAGTACCTGCGGCACAGGTCATCTATAGTCATCTTGGAACGCGCAGAGAAGACATGTGGTAATATTGCCTATCGTGAAAGATTGCAGTCACATCCCCTTTAAAGCCCAACCTGGAAGTACACCATTCCGTTTCGCTAGCCTTCACGCATGTACAATTGTGTCCCCATTTTATCCCAACGCCCATTTATCCATCCCAGATTCCGTCCCTTGAAACACCCGAAAAAAAACCATCGACTCTTGTTGTCGATGAACGCCTGCTGTTGTGCAGCGTTCGACGCGGCCTGACTCTGCGCTCAGTTCTGACGGCCGTGCCCGCTACCCCACGTCGCGCCGTTGCTACTCGGAGCGGGTGCGGGGCCCCGCATGTTCGCCCCGCCGGCGGAAGCCGAGGCCGACAATCGGTAGGCGGCAATGTTGTGGAACGGCGCCGCTGAAGCAGGAGCAGTCAGCCAGGTGTTGAGACTGTCGGATTCATTGGGTTGATTGTAGGTGAAGACGTTTGAGAATTGTGCTTGCCTGGGCCGGGGAATGGCGGTGTATTGAGAGGGGGAATGAGCTTGGTTGGAAGACATCTTGGCGGCTGTGAGAGCAAGACTTGGGTGCTTGTTCGTCTTGGCTGCGACTGAGATGATATGTGTTGTGTGAATTGCAATGAGAGATTGAGCGGGGGGAAAATCACTCGACGGACCTGTTTTTGTATTCATGATGAATACTCCTCATGATCCTCGTTCCTCACCATCATGAGGAGTGAAGCGGGAGGGTCCTCCTCCTCTTCCTCTTCTTCCTCCTCGCCCTCCTCCTCACCGACAAAAACATCAGGGGCTTTTCAGCGGGGTCTTTTTGCGGTTGACTCCAAGGTGTCGAAGAGAACAATAAAAGTCTAAAAGTCGTTGCCCATGATGATGATGAGGTCTGGGAGCCGGTGATGATTGCCTCCTATCACCGCCGCCAGACGAGAGACTGGGCCGCCGCCCAAAAGAACCCTGCAATTCAAACCAAGCAAAAGTACGCAGGTACTTTTGACTCCCGAAGACTAGTGCAAGGCACGGCCGCTCGTCCTTGGTCCCTGATTGTCCATTGGATAAGGAGGAGTGCGAACGGATGTGAGATAGCTGTGCAAAAAGACCATGACAGAATGCGAGCGGAATGGAAAGTTCGATGATCGACCGCTAAAGGTCTGGCACTTTGTCACCGAGCTTTTTGCTTAATCCTTCTGGCGTGGACTTTTGCCGCTTGGCCGCCGTACGGGTCAAGTTCCAGTCAACAAGAATATGGCTAGCATGGGTCATGCAGGGTACTTCTGCCTTGAGTTGGGCTTGATTGGCCGCCTCACCGAGGCCGCAGTCCGAGAACACTATATTTCAGAGATGGTCGCTTGCGTGGCAGGTCATGACTAGCAGGTTGGTACACGCATTAACATGTGAACCTGGTGGCTCTCTTCATGGTTATGTGTTGGGAAATCCATCCGCAACTCGTCTGTAAGTTCAGACAAAGTCGGCTGACCTTTAGTGCAAAAGAGCCGCACAAGCAGCACAACGCCAAGGGGAGCCTTTTGGCTGGAGAAAATTCCCAGGTATCTATTCTCTCGCTCCTTTTCAGGGTTGATAATACCGTAGTTACCGTAGACTACCGACATATTGTACACACCACATGCTCGGCATGTGACATCCGTCTATTTTTCGCTGACGCTATGAGAAGATCAACTCCGCTCCCATCCGACTGTTCTGAAGACTTCCGCGAGCGCACCAAGAACTGTATCTACGATAGACTTGACGAAACCTTGGCGCTTGCTCTTGCCAGAGGAGTCCCGCAAGGGGTCTTCGCTTCCCATCGTAGGCAGGACGTTGTCGCTAGCGGACAAGCTCACGAAGAGAGCAAAGGGAATGAGCCAAACGCAGAGCCCAAAGTATGAGGCGATCTCGGTGAAGCTCGGGACGTCGGGTTGATCGTAGTAAGAGTGCATGTTCGAGTACGATCTTTGCTGCGCGGCAGAGAAGTGGCGGAACCAAATGTAGTGGTTGACGAGGACCAGAACTAGACAAGCAAAGGTTAGTTCCGAACGTACATGTATAGCAGCACAGAAACATACCACAAGAGGCCAGGAACAGAGGGTCAGTCAGCCTAACGAAAGGGAATCGGCGCATGTTGCCGAGGTAGACGACATGGGAGACAACTCCCATGAGGGTCAACTTGAAAGGAAATCGGTCGACGATGCATAGCAAGAGCTGCAAAACAATAACCGAGTAAATCAACTTTGTAAGAAGGCGCTTCGCAAAAACGGTATGCTCCTCGACAAGCTCCGATAAGTAATACAGACCGGAAGCTGGACACAGGGGTGTTAGTAAGGAAGCATCCTCAACCTGAGTGCCAAGGGAGAATCCGGGGGATCAGGACGAACCGATGGCGAGGGTCAGAAAGCAGAAGCCCACGATGGAGCCAAGGTAGCCGACCAAAGGTAGAATCCACATGGTGACGGACGTTATGTTTAGAATGTCGTCGTAGTATGTCGCATGAAGTGAAGTGAGAAATGAAAAGAGAGAGTGTGTGAAGTTGTTGAATTATTGGTCTGCCGGGGGAGGAGGGTTGTGCACAGAAGCTCCCTACATTGTCTCTTGAAGCTATGACGGAGCTGGCCAGGGCGCGTCGTGAAATCCACTTTGCGAAAGCGTGGCCTCTGCGCGTCGGGTAGGTACCGTAGTGGACGGGCACTCGGGAGATTCCATGATCCGCGGTGAATGAGATAAGCGATCGTTTGATTGGACGCATCCTCCGGCCTTCGACCTCACTAACCTGAGTACCTAGTGTAACCCCCGGCTGTCGCTGGGGACCTTATCCTTATCGATAAAGATTGATGGTGGTTGCCGGGTTTCTTATCGATAACTATCCGTGACCCCCCAGTTGTGAATTTTTGAGGATTTCTCACGACACACAATTCACCGCCCAATTCTTCGATGCGCCGGCTTGACGACAGACTGCCTTGAAGCGAATATTGACGGGAGGCTCCATTCAAGATCGGCCGAGTTCAATCTTCCAACAGAAACTGCCCAATATGTCACGCCCTGAGGATACCCTGTAGGCTACAGGCCTCCCCTCCAACCCCGCCATGTGCCTCCAGCTGACCAAATCTCTCTGCTCTCAGTGCGGCCGACATCCACTATAATGACTCCGAAGCCCGCAAGTACACGACGAGTTCTCGTATCCAGAATATCCAGGCGTCCATGACCCGCCGTGCTCTTGAGCTCCTCGACCTCAAACAGCCTTCCTTCATTCTCGACGTTGGCTGCGGCAGCGGTCTCTCCGGCGAAATCCTTACCGCCGAGGGCCCTGAAGATGGTGGACCACACACCTGGGTCGGCATGGATGTCTCACCATCCATGCTCGATATTGCTCTCCAAAGAGACGTAGAGGGCGATCTCCTCCTCGCAGATATCGGACAGGGCGTACCATTCCGCGCCGGTTCCTTCGACGCTGCTATCAGCATTTCCGCAATTCAATGGCTTTGCAACGCCGAGAGCAGTGATACCTCGCCCGAGGGCCGCCTCACCAGATTCTTCAACGGCCTCTACGCGTCATTACGCAGAGGAGGTCGCGCCGTGTGCCAGTTCTACCCCAAGAACGACACCCAGCGCAACATGATTACTCAGGCCGCAGTCAAGGCCGGCTTCGGCGCCGGTCTGCTCGAGGATGACCCCGAGACAAAGAACGTCAAGCTCTATCTTGTGCTGACTGTCGGCGGTACCGCAGAGGGCGGTCGCGGAGGAGACATCACAAATGTCGTTGATGGTATGGACAACGTCGATGTCGAGGACGCGAGGAGGAAGGCCAGTCAGCAGAGTGGTAAGGGTGACATCAAGAAGGGAAGTAAGGCGTGGATCGTCAAGAAGAAGGAGCAGATGGAGAGGAAGGGAAAGGTCGTCAAGTCTACCTCCAAATACACTGGGCGTAAGCGCAGAACCGCTTTCTAGACGGACGGTGCTTGGGCGGGGTTTCGGGGATGTCGCATGGCATGGCGTTCAGGGGTACAACGGAAAACTTGTTTTAAGAGATCGAAAATTGAATCAGATACCCTCATTTACCTCTCAGAGTCTCTCTTCTCCATCCGAATCTGTCCTCGTCACGAATTCTGGACTTGGGGAGACCAATGATCCCGGGTTTGCAATACGGAGGGAAAAAGGCATCTGACGACACCATGAATTGAACAACGGATGCAGTAATACCTCGGGAGACTTCATCGAGGTAGACAACAACTCAAGCATCCAACTCATGATGTGACAGATGACAGATGAGGCAACTTTGCATCCTATGACCCCTTTCCCCTTCATCTAAAGACCGAATCCACCAAGGTATGTAGCCTGATACGGTATGATCCTTTACCACTTGCCTGTGCCATAGAGCGCTTTTAGAATGCCAGACGTCTTTAAAATTTCACCTTTCCAGCCAAGCCATGGATTTGATAAGATACGATTCTTTCCTCTTCATCAATAAGATGAGATAAACAGCATCTAGTAAGCGTAGATAACAGATCCACAGGAATATTTGTGCAGCTCATTTACGATACCACATTCTCGACGTTCTTCCCTGTCGCATCTTCCGTTGTAGTTGCATCATTCCATAAAGCAGGGCCTCGCTCGTGGGCGGGCATCCAGGAACATAGATATCCACCGGCACCAAGCGATCACAACCACGGACTACAGAATAACTGTAGTGGTAATACCCTCCGCCGTTGGCGCAGCTCCCCATACTAATGACCCAACGCGGTTCCGGCATCTGATCGTAGACTTGGCGGAAAGCGGGCGCCATCTTATTCGTGACAGTACCGGCGACAATCATGACGTCTGACTGTCGCGGGGATGCTCGGAACATGAAGCCGAATCGGTCTTGATCGTATCGTGGCCCGGCGATTTGCATCATCTCTACGGCGCAGCATGCGAGGCCGAATGTCATTGGGTACATCGATGACTGACGACCCCAGTTGGCGAGCTTGTCGAGGGTGGTTCTGGCGAAAGAGTCATTAGTAGCAACCCAAGGGTGGTGCGCCTGGGACTGGGTACATACACAGCATACTCCACAAGGGACTTAGGCTGTGATTTTGTAGGAAGAGCAATCTCGCGACGATTGGGGCGTGGAGAGACAGATTTCTGGTAGCTAGGGGAAGTTGCTATGCATCGAACGCTGGCCGGTGCTGGAATTGATCTCGTCGCGAGTCCCACGGCGCGGGGCGCCTGGCTTGCAAGAGACTTTGACATAATGTACAGGAGAAAGGACTTTTCCTTCCAGAAGTAGGAGCAATAAGGATTGGAATAGACGGAGGAACGGAAGGGGTAGTGGGCTTCTTAAAGCCCGGGAAGTGCGCATGGGTCCCAAGCTCTGATACTCAGGGCTAGTGGTAAGGCATGTAGGAAGACTAGAGCCAGGGGATAGGATCTCAAGGATTTACTAACTTGGTTTCGACTAGAAATTGAAGAGAGCAGCCAATTCGACTTACAGCGTCGTGAACACAAAGCTTTCATGAGGCTTCAGCTGATGCTTGTCATGGTCCAAGTCTATGCATCTTGCGAAGCCAGGCCTCAGATAAGTTTACCAGAACCAGAGCAAATAATCCAGAATAAAACGAGAGCTCAAATACAATGGTGTTCTCAAATACAATTATGAGATCCCTCATCAAGTTGTTCAAGATCGCGAGCTAGTAGGCCTTTCGCGCAATTCGTTGATCATAATTGGCCCTCCGTCTAAGTCGAAGCGCAGCCCCACTTCGTTCTCGTCGCGAGTCCGAAGTGGGGCCAAGTGATCCGAACCCGCCTGCGTGGGCCCCGTAAATCCGTCGTCAGTAACTCAACCGCAAAGGCAACCCGTCCGCTTCATTCCTTTGACGGAACAATAATCTGATCAAGACAACCCGTTATGCGTTCTACCAGCTCCCAGACTTGCCGGTGTCGATGCTGCTAGATCCCTCGAGCAGTAACCCCTGACCTCGGCTGCAACCCACTGACGCTTGCCGCTGGACCCCTAACTACTTGATACTTAGTGCCCGCCAAAGCTGTCAATGCCAGACATTGACATGGAAAACCTTCCTTCCATGAGAAATGGGCCCAAGAGAGCTCATAAGAAGGTTCGAACGGGATGTGTTGCGTGTAAGACGAGGCACGTAAAAGTAAGGCAGGCAGCCATCCAAGGCCAAGTTGAGCCCATATCTAACTTCTATTCGGGATAGTGCGATGAGAGAAGACCACAATGCAGCCAATGCACTAGGCAAGCTATTGCCTGCAGTTACCCTTCACCAAAACCATACCCTCCCACGGAGATTACGACATCAACTCTGTCTCATAGTCTCTCCTTCAGGGACGGAGCACTTGATCTCAATATGCTTGATCTCGAACTCATACATCACTGGACACTCTATACATACGATAGCTTGACAGTCAGCCCTGTGATTCGGACTTTCTGGTTGAGGAATGCGGCGCAAATCGGGTTCCGCTGTGACTTTGTCATGCGGAGCTTACTGGCCCTGTCCGCCGTTCACCTAGCAACTCTGAACCCAGCGCGAGAAGAAGCCCTCTTTCGACATGCACTGAAGCACCACAACACATCGACAGCGGCAACTATTGCATCAATACATCATATAGACCAAGTGGAAGATATCGCAATGCGAGAAAACCTTTTCCTATATTCAATGTTCATCATGTTTTATAGTACGCATAGTCCACTTCCCTACTCGACCAACATGTGGCGCTAACATCCCCGGTACTCTCGTAGTCATCTCACAGACGGAACACCCCCAAGATGCCTTGTTTGGCCGTCCGAGTCGAAAAGAAATATCATCACCGGACTGGATGGTGTTCTTCCACGGATCAAGATCAATCGCGCTGGCGTCAATGGCACTACACACCACGACCAGTCTAACTCACCCAGTCATTGGCTACACGATAGGAATGCTCGCAGACCGTGAGAAGACGTCAAAGAAGCAATACCTCAGCACCTTACTTGCTCGCATAAGACAAACCGAGCTGAACGAACATTACGAAACGTACCTGCACGCCGCGGAAGAGCTTGAAGCGACTTTTGCGGTCCTGGCCGAGTTTCCTGAGAGCAGAGACATCTTTCACGGGTTCCTCTGGATTAGCAACGTATCGGACCATAGGGGAGATTTGATAGCTTTGATTCAGGACCATAATGCCTCCCAGGAAGCACTGGTCGTGTACACGTACTTTTGCAAAATAATCCAAAGGCTTCCGACAAGATGGTGGTCTGAAAAATGGGTCCGAGGACTCAAGGATGGTGCGTTTGCCTCCCTTGATGAGGAACATCGAACCTGGGTCGTTGAACTGCCAAGTTGGACTTGATTCGTCCTCAAGCGCATGGCTTTGTTCAGTCGCCTCGGACATCAGGAGTCACCCGCAGACGTGCCAGTATGATCTCCATATTCCCCGACATTGACTCGTCTTTTACGAGCATCCATGTTCCCCCGAAC